TCTTCTTATCATATCACATATAATCTTTCCATAAATCTCCGCTCAGACGTCCGATCCGGAGCGCGGCACTCCAAACAACAGCCGTCTCTCATGGAGGGGTGGATAGCTGGGGAAAACGAAGAGAATAGCGAATATCTCGTAAACGTGATGATTCGACTGTTTTGGATTGCACGCCGAACTGACTGCGAATACGCGATGTTACGCAAATATATTTACATACATATACAGTGTGAATTAATATTGTTTTGGATACAAATAAGTTTTGATGTCTTTCTGATGTTATCTTTATGTGATTTCCATTCAAAGCCATACAAGTGTAGCTTTTATATAGGGTATAAAAGTGACATCAAACACCATCCTAAGCACTCACTTGGGCACACAGAATCAATGGAATGGCATCTCTGAAGTCTCCAGCTCTTGGGGAGGATTCAGAATTTGAGGGAAGGCATATTCTCCATTCATAGACCTGAGCTGAATATGTGATGAAAACACACAAAAGTGGCATTAAGCAAAAGCATGCACTTTTTTCTTTGGATCTGCATTGTCACCACCCAATTATAGTGTGAGTGTAAAGTAAAGTAAAGTAGAGTTTATCATCCTCTGTTGGGCACAGCTTTTCATCTTGTATTCCGGTAAATAACGGCCAGTGGATCTGTCACTGGAGACTGCTCTTCTGTGTTGGTCATTTCTGTAGCCCTTCTGAGGGTTGTTTAGTTCATTTGGTGCAGCCAGGTGCTAGAGCCATGTCAGGAGGTGGTGGTAGGATTGGTTGAGAATGTAGATAGACTATCAATTCAGCTCAACATCACAGCTCATAGAAAAACATTGTATCAGACTCAATACCAGTGAGCAGATGCAGCAATGCCAACTACATAGTGCTGGCTCGCGCTAAGACGTGGAAACAAATCTTCCACCCCTGCTGTATTGACTTCTGGGCCCCAACCACACAGCAGTCTTACCAGACCAGTCTGGTAGACCAGTCTTGGTGACCAGAGCAAATCATTAAACCCCAATGAGCAGTGCAAACCATTCTCTCCCTGAATTTGACTAACTTCTGAAAGTTGGGAGGAGGGGCTTAAGTCTCATCCAAATGAATAGGAAACTACACCCCTGGTCCCAAATTAAAAATATATAGGCCAGTAAAAGCCCAAGTAGGTATCACATTGCCCCAGCATGTATCTTAGATCAGAAAGACTGTACCTTGGCTGGGAGGTAGCAGCACTTATTGGTATGTGCCAGATAATCCTTTATATTAATAGTGGCATACATTATATTCAATCATAAATTTTGTCATGATGTGACCCGGGGAATTATCCAACAGGTGCACCACATTTTCTATCAGTCATTTGGCATCATCCACACACAGCACCACAACATTTATCCAGTCTCAATTGAGACTCACACATCTAGGATAAAATTGCCAATGTTAACAGCTTTTATCAGCTCTATAGCTTCAAAAAGTATAGTAGGTGTGATCATATGCCTAGGAAGCAAACACTTGGGAGGCAAGAAAATTTACAAATTGCAAGCAGCCAATCTGCAATGGTCTCTGGCAATAATAGGGACCATCTAGTGCATGGTATTTACTGTCATCGATTGTTAAAGAATGTCCTACAGTACCATTAATGTCCACAGTGCAAATTTGCATTAGCAAATTTGTTCTCACTCCTAGCAGGGACTTTGCAATTTGCTATTCCTTCTCCCCACCTCCCCAAGTGTCAAATCCAAATGTCAGATACTGGACCCCAGGAACTTAAGGGGCTGAACTCACCATTGCAGGAGAGGCCAAATTGGACTTTGGGGGGCTCAATGGTCCATCCAAAAGCATACCAATTGGGAAGTGTTTATTAGTGCAAATCAAACTAATTTTTTACCTTCAAAGATAGGCCTAGCTACACAACACTGAGTTCAACAGGGGAAACCAGAGCAGGGTATGATGAAGCATGCACTTACTGTAATACACCTGCAAGTTTTTGCTGAACTGACAACATCTTGAACACTGCTGGATGAGATTCTGATGTACCATGCATTTCCTACCTTCAAAGGCCAGAGGGACATAAAAGGCACTAGTCCATACCGCGATTAAAAACAGCTGCAAGCTACAAACTGACCGCAAACTGGTAAACCACAGCAAGAGTGCAGCTTTAAATGCGGGGGAAGCTCAAAATTGTTGACCAACTTCTCGAAGTCCAATGCCTCAGAGCAGACAATGGGTGGTTGACGCAGTGGGCCGCTCTAAAAAAAAAACTGCCCATGTCTTCCCATCATTCAATTCAACATGCATCCATAATAGCGATAAATCTAGCCTGCGGTGTTATTTAAACATGCCGACAAAGGCCTCGCGGCAAATGTGACGACTACGCCCTCGGCAAAAAGCTTTTGTTGTTAGAACTTACCTCATGATTTCGTATGTGATCCAAAAATCGGCTATTCTTGGTTATCTATATGGAGCTGCACCCACACACTTCAACGCAATGCAAATTAATGCATAGCACCTCCCAGGCACCGACCGCGACTCGACCGCCGCCCATCCGCACCGTTACTGTCTCATGCACTCGCATGTAGAGATGGCTAAAGGACTTGGCGAAGTAAAGCAAATACGTGAACAGATAGATGAAGTTGAAATTAAAAAAGAAGCAGATTGCTTGTTTAAATATACATTTTACAATCCAGTTTCACACAGTCAGTACAATTTATTTAATAAAATTTCAACTCCGAAATACCTCGGGTAAATTCAGCACAAATATTTAGGTCAACAAAACAAGTCACTGGTTACGGCGCATCAGTGACAGCTATTGGTCCATTTCCAAGTGTTCGTGAACACGATCTGTTTTTCTTCGTGTGCCGCTTTTGCATAGACAACCAATAAAAACTCGAAAGTTCATGCCGGATAATATAAACCTGTCTCCAATTGGCCACTTTCCTCCGCTCGCGATCGAGTATACACTACGTGCGAACGCTGTTCGCATGCGCATTGCTAAAACGTAAATACCTGCCACGAACGAAAACATTCCCTTCAAGAGTACCGCTTGCTATAGTGTGCTTCACTTTCGTAGCTGTAAATTACCTGGTGTTACATACCTTATAGGCACCATGCCTACGCTGGTGATGGTTATGATTAAGCATTTGTCTTGTTTAGCAGCAAAGCTGAAAGCAGGGACAGGCATGACATTAAGGGACTATAGGGCTGATGGAAAATGTGTAAATTTTGTGCAGTGTAAGCACCATCCACTGTGCCAAACAACTATGCAACACTAATGTGTTGAACCTTTTATTTTTGCACCTTAACTGAGGCTGGGTCAAATTGTGCTCAGGGCTCAACTATTTATCTGAAAAAGTGTGTTCAGATTATTTTAGCTAGAAATACATTTATTGCATCATAATACAATGAAACATTGGCTTACTTTGCACTGAAACTGATGGTTATGGTGCACCTAACTTTGAGCTCCTGGATTTGTATGTGCATTCTCTGAATCTTGTAGCAATGTTGCCAATACTCTGAAGGATATGCTTGGTGGCACAGTTTGCAGATGAATATGACATTTCTAATGATCTGACCTTGCCTTATCTTTTCCATACTCTCCCAAATTTTGTAAGCAGCTTTGTAGGATGGGATTTTAGCTAACAGACATTGTTCTCCCAAATATCAGCGTGATTGATGGGCAGGCCTCTGAGGTTTTTGTTCTTCATTTTAAGGCTGCAGATGATAAGACCACACATGTGTATACCATGGCCTTCATTTCATAAGTCTCACAGCACATATTTTATCTACAGATGGGATACATGCATCATCAAAATATGACATAGAGCTCAGATATGCTATGCTGTACCTATGCTTTGATTATTGGAATCCCACTTAAAGACACTGAATGGTTATCATTTGCACATTGAGTATGCTATTTGTCTTATCATTAATATAATCAGTTTCCTATTTTTCCACATGTGATGCATCTTCATCACTAATTGGCATGCATCATCTGAGCAGTATGACATTCAGTGCATATAGATGTTAGCTCCTGATATAATATCAGCATCTAAACTGCATAGTTTATAGGGAGAAACATTCACCAGTAGTTACATGATAGCCACTCCAAAGGCTTTGTGAAAGTGAGATGATGAGGACAAGTACTCCAGTTATGCCAAATTCAGCATGACATGTACAAACTTTGGCAGGAAAGAGTCACCCTGAAAGCCATGGATTCTCCCACATCTAATGCCCTTTGGCATAACTTTGCTCCTCACTCCTTTCTGGGCATAAACAATGATGTTGCTTCTTATGGAGATATAACTGAAACCAGCTAACTGAACTGACTTGTATTTAAACTCACCACCACACATTATTTCAGCAGAGCAAGTGACAATATGGATGCTGACAACCTAGAAGACATCCCACGCTCACCAGATCCAGACAGTGGCTTGGCTGACTACCCTGATGCAGGGAATGGCATGGCTGATTCTCTGGACCTGGCTGGAGGCACGGACGACCCTCTAGACGACGATGGCGTCACGTCCGCCCCTTCGGACATCGACGCGTCCGGCTACCCCGGTGGCATGGGGGACATGGCCGAACATGACGACGCCGGCGCCAGCCCGGATGGCGACAATCCCTTCGTTGTTGACGGTGGCGCCAGCCCAGCGCCTCTGATCGACGGTGACAGCGGCTTGAGCGACCGGGCGGACTCGGCCGTCGGCAGCCGGCCGGGGACGGTGGCCGGCGCGCGGGCCGGCCTGACTGGACGGGCCACGCCGGCCGTCCTGGCGGGCGAGGGCCGGGCCACGCCGGCCGTCCTAGCGGGCGAGGGCCGGGCCACGCCGGCCGTCCTGGCGGGCGAAGGCCGGGCCACGCCGGCCGTCCCAGCGGGCAATGGTCGGGCCACGCCGGCCGTCCCAGCGGGCGAGGGCCGGGCCACGCCGGCGGCCGAGGGCCCGGCACCGCCGTCCCGGCCGGCCACCAGCCGGCCGCCGTTCTCGCTGGCCGGCTCCCGGTCGGCCTCGGCGGCCGGCTCACGGCCGGGCTCGGAGCCACCGGAGGGCGTCGGCGACGGCCACACCGGCGCGGCCAGCTCACGCGCCGTCACGCCGGCCGGGTGAGAGACGCTCGGCTCCAGCCCCAGCGGGAGGCAGATAGATCGTGCAGAATCGCGATTTTGGGGGAAGGATTACTATGCAAGGAGTGGCTATTAAATTGTTCGCTTCAACCGCAATGTGTCTGTCAGTCATGTAGCTGTAATAGCTGAAAAGTTTTTGGATAGTGAATGGATAGTTCGTGTTTCTCCGGGTGTCGTCTTTAACGATTGATGTCTTGCACTGGAATCTTAGGTACAGATGGCATGGCTGTCTCGTGCACACAAAGAATGGAAACATAATCTAGGTTAAGAGCTGCAGCATGTATTCGATCTGTGGACGAATACCTTCTGTCTGTCTTTGTTTGGACTACTTGATATTTACACATATTGTGTGGTTACAGCGACCCAAAGCTTTTGCCAAGGCAGAGCATCAAACCTGAAGACCTGGAGAAGCCACTTAAAGAAGCGCCGGAGGAGGAGTTCGAGTTTCAAGGGTAAACCACGGTTACATAGATTATGTCTGTTTCAGAGGATGGGTCCTGCCAAAAACAGTTTTCGACGTCAACGTGGGAAACGCTGTGGCAATCTGTGTGGACGCATTTTTCTGGATATTGTTTGGGGGCGTAATTGCCGGATGACTGTGGCACAGTTCGTGCGGTCGAAGCCCGACTTCCACCTCTCGACGGTCGGCACGGCCGAGCCGTCTCAGCCGACTGGTGACGCTGTTCTGTCGGCAGCGAGAATATCTGGGTGATCGCCGAGAAGATGAACCAGGCTCGCATCCTGCGCGGCTTCCAGCTCTCTGAGGCGCAGAGCGTCGAGACCACGCTGCTCTTCGTCGGCGGCAAGCAGGCGGTCAGTGGTCTGGAGAGCGGGGTGTGACTATCATGCAGTCCGTCGCTGAGCCCGAGTCATGCCTCGCCGCCGCGCTCCGGACCCGGAGAGCGGCGGGGAGGTTTGTTGTGAGTGGCTGGCTTGGCCAGTAGGCCTGTGGGCAGCAGGACGTTTTCCATAAGAGTGGTGTGACGCGCCGCAGAAAACAACAGCTTATGAAAGCATTTCGTTGACTGCGGGAGCTTGAGCGATTATTTTGTCTGCTGAGCATTATATCCTCCACGGAGTTGTGCCCCTGACGAACCCGTTTGCTGTGTGATTCAGGGAAAGTCGAGCATAATTCACAAGTTTCTGGATCGCGAGGAAGCGCCAAAGAAGACGCTGGGATTGGAGTACTCATATGGTCGCAAGGCAGGCAAAAGCGTGGTATGTAATCAACCCGCACCGCGTGCCACTCGCTTTCATGTCTTATCTTTACATGCCGTTATCTGTACGTCTTTGTTCCCCAAACAAGCACTGCAAAGAAGGAAATTAAGTTGGTGTTCCAGCATATTTGTATCGAAACCTTCCTCTGTTCGTAAGCGTCGTGCTTGCGTATGCACTGTACAATGCGTAAACAAGCTGAATGTTTTCTTCGTATTTTGAGCCCACATTTTGTGATTTTGGGGATGAATTTTAGGCATCTACTGCGTTGCAGGGTGTGGACGGTTTTGTGGTCGCGCTATGATTACAGCTGACAAATACGGGATGTCGCATGAGGGGTTCAGAAGCCTCCGCATAACCTCCGTAGTTGGACATCACAGCCGTATTTGAAGTGCGCGTTCGGTTACGTTCCGTCCCTGCGCCTAGTCTAGCGATGACAATCCGTACAATACGTATTCCCGCTGGGGCAGCATGCTAACCCGCGCTGTTCTCACAGCGGTCAGGCACGGTGCACGGCAGTGCGGCGTGCTAGCTCTAGCGTTAGCGGGTCATCTTCAGCGCGTATCAGTGACACCTGCGCGGTGTCCTGTGCGGCTGTCCTTGCGGGGGAGCGTCCCCAGTGTCCGCGCGTGACGACCGGCGGTGTTTCCGGTGCGGCGACGGCAGCTGAAGGACGTGTGCCACATCTGGGAGCTGGGCGGCGGCACCACTTACACGCCGCTGCTGGAGACGCCGCTGGAGGCCGAGAGGCTGCCCACTGTCGCCATCTTCCTGGTGATCGACCTCAACAAGCCACAGAGCATGTGGTTCACGCTGGAGACCATGCTTCAGGTGGGGGTAGTGACCGTGCCGGCCGCACCAGCACACTGGGTTTTGATTAAGCTGGGTGCTCAACATGAATACGTAACGACGAAGCGGTGTGCAATAAGCAGAGGTGAAGATTTATTCCGTTGCTCCTCTGCGGGATTTAAGAATGGTTATGTATCGTGCACATAGTCACATCCGATCGACGGGACTGACCCGTGGCTGACGCAGCGATACTGCGCTAGCATTGCCGCGCCACACGCGGCACCGGTAAACGCTGGGTCGGTCGCGGTGCCTCCAGCTGCGAGGGCCTTCGATGTTGCCAACCTCGCAGGATGTGCGTGCTGGACACTCCAGGTGTGTCTGCCTTTGCTGAGCAGCGAAGGACGACCAAGTTCGACCCCTGTCCACGCGAACTCTTCATGTGCTCTTTTTTGTCGCTCGGCTGCTTCATCCCATCACAAGTGTACTGTGGGCAGCGCCTCGTATTCGGCTGCACCAGCGCCCCTGGTGGAGCTCAGTCAGACTGGATGGCGTGCACACGGTGGCTCGACACATGCAACACATGCATTTCTGCTCGGAAAGTTGTGGATCGTTGGATGCTCGCAACCGTTATAGGGAACAGGAACATACATGTCCCTGATGTTTGTTGCAGCGAAGGCCGCACATAACGCTAGCGCGTGTTGTCGTGCGTGGAATAGTCACGTAGTACGGCCTGCTGTGTTGGCTTCAGGTGCTGCGGGAGAACCTGGACACGGAGATCGGCAGCGGAGTGGGCCGAGAAATGAAGCTGAAAGAACGACTGAAACGCGCCACAGACCTACGGGTTCCACCGGACCACCAGGTGAGGGGTGACCAATCGCCTTCTGGTGCCTCCCCTTCCTTTGACCATCAGGTGAGGGCGACCACTGGCTTACTGTTGCCTCCCGGACCACCAGGTGAGGGGTGACCAGTGACTCACTGTTGCCTCCCAGACCACCAGGGGAGGGGTAACCAATGGCGTACTGGTGCCTCCCCCACCTTTGACCATTAGGTGAGGTCGACCACTGGCCTGCTGTTGCCTCCTGGACCACCAGGTGAGGGGTGACCGGTGACCTACTGGTGCCTTCCCCTCCCCTTACCATCAGGTGAGGGTGGCTACTGGCCTGCTGCCCCCCCCCCCCCCCCCCAGACCACCATTTGAGGGTGACAACTAGCTTACTGGTCCCTCTGACCACCAGGTGGATTTAATATGACAGCTGGTTTTTAAGCCGCTGGCGTCCTTTGAATTGACAATATGTCCTGATACGTGATACGTTGGAGCTGGCTCGAAACGCGGTAGGCAAGTGATGCAAACATCCCCATTCGGCTGAAACGCATGGAAAAATAGGGGCGACTCGGTTTTCTGTTGTCACACATTAACCGTGCCGTGTTTTGTAGTCATCGCGATGCGTGCTTATTGTTGCTGCTGCCGCAGCTGATGGGGGACCATTTGCCACGGATGTGAGATACACGGTCGGACCTGCCCCGGCCGCCTCCTGCGCTGCTGCGGCTGTCAGTGACACTCACAGCGGCTGGCCGGGCAGTCCGCCGAGATCGGCCGGCCGATTGGTCCGGTGGTGACTGCTCGACTGCCACCAGGGCTGTACTGGGTAGGAGGTAGTGGTAAACAGCAGATGCGAAAGTGCTACCGGGACCAGTGCATCTCCCGAAAAAACAGCAAAGCCGAGTTAAACTGAATGGGAGCTGATGCGCGCCCTGCCGCGCCACATGATCCAGCCGTGCAGTCTGGGCTGGTCGGGCGAGCTGAGACGGCTTCGTTCGCCGGTCGACAGGACTACGCCCAGATGCGGCCGTTCCCGGTGCCGCTGATCATCTTCGGGAGCCACTACGACGCATTCCAAGACTGGGACCCGGAGAAGAAGAAGCTGGTTTGCCGCACGCTTCGCTACGTGGCCCACGTCAACGGGGCGTCGCTGCAGTTCTTCTCCAGCACCGACTCGGCCCTGGTCAAGAAGGCCAAGGAGCTGATTGGCCAGTACGCTTTCGGAGGCGTCACCAGGTGAGAGCGGCGTGACGTGACGCATGCTGCTGCGCCACGCCGTCAGCACGTTAGGAAGACATAGCCGGTGTTGTCGGTTAGGCGCCATGTCAGTTGCTCAGCCCGGTGGTAACTCTTTTTGCCCACTTCGTTGTTTCTGGCATCACGACGCCATGCGACCGCGGCAATGCACCTGCGCATGTGCGGCAGCGTCGTGGCTCGCGAGAGCCCGTGTTTCCCGCGGCAGTTTGCCGCCGCCGCGCTCCTGCGCGCGCGTCCAGCTGTCGCCGCAGACTCGCGGATCCTGTGTTCTGGTCGCGTCTGCGTGCGCAAGCTTTCATCTGTCTGTTTGTGGACGGCTGCGAGCTATACCGGATAGCGGTGCCCACCCTTCCTGCCATTTGAGAGGCAGGCGACGTCATGTAGCGATAGCAGCTGAGTGCGTCGTAAAGCCTCAGTGACGACGACGACACATGCGGGATGTGAGCTCGAAATACTCCGACCCGTTGGAGTGCCCTCCCTGTCTAACAGTGGTTGGCCGTCCCTTGGTGCCTCCCTGCCTGGTGCCCCCCCCCCCCTGACTGCGTGTGTGTGTATGTTTGTGTGTGTGCTTGCGTGCGTGTGCGTGCGTGCATGCGTGCGTGGTGCGTGTGCGTGTGCGTGTGGCGTGTGCGTGTGCGTGTGCGGGTGCGTGTGCGTGTGCGTGTGCGTGTGCGTGTGCGTGTGTGCGTGTGCGTGTGTGTGTGTGTGTCGTGTGGTGGCTGTGTGTGTGTGTGTGTGTGTGTGTGTGTGTGTGTGTGTGTGTGTGTGTGTGGTGTGTGTGTGTGTTGCCGTTCTCCCCCTGCGGTCACCTGGGGCTAGGGCCGTCCGTGCCACAGTGGTACCAGTGATTTCGGCCGGGCCTGCCGCGCCTTTACGCTGCCGCACTGCGAGTGTTTGTATGTACGTGGTATCGTCTGCCCCGTGCCATGATGCGAGCCCGCCGTGCCTCGATGTCGGCGCCGCCGCTACCGCTACGGGTTGTGCGGTACCGACGTGCGGTGGCGCTCCGGCCCCGCTCTGTCCCCACAACCCCCGGCCACCTCCGTGTCGTGCCGGCGTGTAGTGATGCTGCGGCGCCCCCTCTGTCCCCACACACCTCGGCCATCTCCGTGTAGTGCCGGTGTGTGGTGGCGCTGACGGACCGGTGGCCGGTCTGTGTCCGGTGACATGGCGGTCGCCTCCGTTGCTGCAGCGGCCAGCTGGCGCAGGACTACAACAAGCCGCTGCTGGTTCCCGCCGGCGCCGACTCGCTAGCCGGCATACTGGGCGTCGGCGCCGACGCCAGCCAAAGCGCCGTCAAGAACGCGTTCGTCGCTCAGTACCCGCAGGTGCGCCCGAACGGACGGGAAGCAGCGCGGCCGCCAGCTTGTCATGCCTCTCCGAGGAGAAAGGAAAACCACAAAGCCTTAGCGCAGACCCCTGACGTCATAAGTCAGCCGTTGTTACTCGAAAAGACGCTACCTGCACGTAGGTGGTCCCATATGCGGCCACAAACTTCGCACCGGCTGGTGGGCCGGCGTCCGCCCAGCTCATCCTACAACCGCTGTCCCAACGTTACTGCCCATTTCGCTGTCGTTCGCTGTGCATTGTCCCGTGCAACAGATTTGATTGTTGCTTCCACTGCCTTAGTTTACACTGTGCATGACTGACACAGTTGTGGTACAGCCGGTACCACCTGCGCCCTCCCGCGCGTGCGCGGACGTTCGCTGCCTCGTTGAGTGTCCGGCCCGGTCGGGCGTTAGGTCAGGTCGGGGCTGGCGAACGGTAGCCGAGTAACCTGCGGATAGCGGTCCTGTGCTCGGGGAGCGGAAAATGTGAACGTTATGAGCGCACCCAGGGGTTAAATCGCGCATTGTAGACGCGCTTGAAAGTAAAATGCAATTACTTTTGTCCTCACTCAGTGTTCTTGGCTGCTGCCGAGTATGATGAGAAGGCACAACGTTGTCCGGTCGCCTCACCCCTCGCCTGCGTCCTGATCAGTTTTCCTCGCACAGCGCATGCTTATCTGACCTGTGGAGCTGCCAGACAGCGGAGCCGAACTCGTGTCGACATTGTGATGACCAGCCCGCGTGGTCCGGCAGGATGCCAACAGCTCCAATGTGCTGCCGGAGGATCCAGCCAAGGACCTCAACTTCCGCGAGAGCGAGATCGATCAGCTGAGGGCGCAGAAGGATCAGGTATGCGGCCAGCGGCAGGAGGCACCCCGAGCGAGATTGCCCTGCCATTCACCGCTGCCGCGCGGAGGGATGGGAGCGGGGCGGGGGAGGGGGAAGAACGCAGAACGGTACCGGTCTTCAGCTGGTGCAAGATGAGGTTAATCCTTGGCACCGTGTGGATAAATTGACTGGAGGTCAACCGTGCGGGGCCGCAGCTGGAGGCATTGACTGCACTGCCTGGGCCGTCCACTGCGGGCATACCGGTTGTATTGCTTTTGCGCCGTTGCCATGGAGACGCGTTCCAAGAGCCGCCGCAGCCGTGTCCGCGGCAACCGAATGGGACATCAGCATCGAGCTGTGTCTGCGCACTTAGATTCTATGGCTCTGAGGGCTTGAAACGCCCTTCAGCCCAAGTCATCATCATCATCGACGTCGTCGTTGGCGTTCACAACGGTCTCTGCTGAATGGCAGAGTGATATCGACTCCGACGATCGGCATCGCATGTCCTCATGTGTTGCTTACGGGTGATTGCTTTGGCAAATGGTGACCGTGCTCCCTGCGCCTGTGGTGATGCTGCATGCGGCTCATAATGGACACCAACTCGTATTTTCCATATATGTGAACGTTATTATATAAGATGTTCATGTGATCACATTTCCAGATTAATCTTAGATCTGCTAATGATGGCCACCAGACAGACTGCATGCAAGCAGAGGTTATGCGTCCTGGAGGCCTTGTTTTGCCCGACATAGCCTCATTAAAGGGACTCTGGCGGCCTTGACCTGGCGTCTTCTGATGACTCCGATCCGGCCTGCGACGGCCTCGTGTGACGGTCGTGACCTGGCCTGGCGACCTTGACCTGTTTCCCGGACCCTGATCCGAACCTTTGGTGGGTTCCTGTGATCCTGATCTCCCCTTCTCTGATAGTGTCTGGTAGCCGTATTCATCCCCCTCCCCCTCCCCCGAGGGTCTCGGGTAACCCTGATTGCGTCTCGTTTGGCAGCGCGGGACGGCCCTGACCTAGCCTTCTCTGATTGTCTTGGGCCACCCTGACATGACCTCCCCTGGTAACTTCGGGTGAGCCAGGCCTGGCCTCCTCCTATGACCTTTGGTGGCTCTGGCCTACCCTCCGCTATCATTGGTTGGCCTTGACCTGGCCTGTTCGGATGACCTCAGGTGACCCTGCTGTAACCCCCGCTGACGATGTTGAGTAACCTAAGCTCTCTGATGGCTTGGATGATCCGACCTGGTCTGCTCTGTCTGCTCTGACCTGATCTGACCTGATCTGATCTGGTCTGATCCGACCTGGTCTGCTCTGGTGACCCTGTGTGACCTGACCTGACCTGACCTCACCAGGAGCTGGAGCGGCTGCGCCGGGAGCTGGAGCGCCGCAGACGCTGGGGTGAAGAGCTGTGAGGCAGCACCGGATGGGCCGCAACAGGGACTCGATCCGTCCAGAGCCGACGCCGCGCCGTCTGCCCTGCACTTGGCGCCAGGACCGTCCACGGGCGGCCCTAGCGCTCCGACTTCTTTATTGCACTGGTATCTCCGCATTTGTCTTCAGTTGTCTGCGATGGCGCCATTGTCAGTGTTAGCTGCTGCGCTGTGGCCCCGGTCAGCGGATATGACCTGCTTGCCGCCACCCCGACTCACTTTGCACGGACAGGCTTGTGACCGTGCCCGGCACATTGACCGCCTCGCGTTTGACCATGGGCAGCGGCACTAGTTGCCGGTGCGCGGCTACATGTAATCACGCCGGTGACAGGTTGCGACGCGCCCATAGCTAAGGCCCGTGCAGAACCACACGCGACCCGGCGGGGCGATGTCCATTAAGGGCCAGGCCCGGCTGAGTTGAGGGCTTGGGCGCGCGGGCTAATTGCTCGCGGCTGCCCGCTCTGCCGGAAGCCTGTCTACCTTTCAAGTCTAGTCAAGGTATACGCGTTGTCGGTGTGTTTCTCAGCAGCAGGCGACCGGTAGATGGGGCGCTCCTTTGCTATTTGGTTGCTGTCGGCGGGCCAGGGTTTGTTGGTGGGCTGAGGCTGGTGCGGGCTGCAGGCTGTCAGCATTTCAGGTCTAGTCAAAACGTTCTCATCGCGCACGCGTTTCTCAGCAGCTTGTGCACAGTGGGTGGGGACAATGCTCTGCTGTTTGGTGGAGGGCGGTTATTGGCGGACCAGAGCTTGGGACTGAGTCGCATATGACCTAGCCTGACCGGTGATTGGGAGGAATGCATACTGACATGTCGATACGCACGTGGACAGAACTGCGGCCGGCGGCGCTGGTTGCTGTTGATCTCATTGGTCACTGTACCTCGCATGGTTGACATGATCTAAGCTAACTAAGCTTAATTGTTGCACTTTGTTGCGCGCATGAGTATTGGCCTTTTGCTGTAGTGAGCGCACCAAGCAAGTTGGCCGCATCGTGAGATTTTTTGTCTACGAGGCTTGTTTATATCCATCAGCCGGTCACGTTTTGCGTTTTTTATACCACTTTTCTGCCTTGGCTGGGCTGTGCACCACGCCAGCAATGGCACTCGTTACACACGCGCTCATGAAATGGAACACAGCTGCTTCTCATCGTCGAGTCTGGATAACATGGCATTGCCACAGTAGACAAGCAAAGTAAGCAGACAGTCACAGTGATTGTGCCTAAAATGCAGGCAAACGTCGACCACTTGAGCTGATTGGATCGATGGACATCATTCAGGTCAAGAGATACAATGTATTATATGGGCGCAGTGCAATAGCGCCGTAGCGAGGGGGACTCTCTGTAAAGAGCGCTTTGGACGTGCACTCTGGCGGAAAGACTTGCGCCGCGTGGGGCCGTGACGGGGCTGTTTCCCTCTCCACTTACTTTGTGAGTGGGAGAGTTCAAGATATCGTGTCAGGGCACTGGAATTGTTAGTTTTTTTTTAAAGGAATGTTCCACAGTTTGATGGGGTTTAGAACTGGAATAGGCATCTTGAAGGCCTTTCGGTGCGGTACACAACCCTGCCCTTCTTAAAACCCGAGCCCTCTAGTTTTTGAGCCACACGCCCACGAAAATTGGGAAAGCTAAATGTGTGTGTGTGGGGGGGGGGGGGGGAGGGTTCCCAGTCACCGTGACATTCATGACGTCATAGACTCTAGGTCAGCAGCTAGTCCAACTATATTTGCAATGCACACATCTTCTTACCCTGACCTGTTACGAACATGCCCGCGCGTTGGGTGGACTTGTCACCGGATGGGGCCGCTGTTTAGTCATTACGCCCCTGAGCCTGGTTCCGTGGCAGCTGTGCTGCGTGTGATGCTGTGGCGATAGTAGTCTTGATTGTGTCGGCTAGCCTTGATTGCAGCCTGTGTGGTGCACTAATGTAATTTGTTCCCCTCGACTACACTCTGGCTTTGCAACGAATAAGACTGAGACTGTTTGTGACAAGCAGTCGGTCCTCTCAGTGCGTTCCTCGCCCGCAATTGCACGTTACGTTACGACCACTGCTCCATGGAGCTCGAATTTCGTCACTTGTATGGGGCTGCGTACTTGTGCGATGTGAGTTTGGCACAAATCGATCGAGTGAAATACACTTAGAAATTTATTGTGTTTGATGTTCAGTTTCAGCTCTGTCCCGGTGTCCATGATGGCTTGATACATGTGCGTTGCGGACGAGCTCGAGGCATTGCAGCTTTGTGTGCTTCTCAGGCGTGCAGCCAGAGCCTTGGCGAGGTTGGGGCGCAGGGTTTGACAAAAAACCCTTTGATAGTGAATCCCCCCCCCCCCCCCCCCTAAAGAAATCGCTGGTAATGGACTGCAAGTTAATAAGGCCTATTTATACTTTTTCTACCGTCTGTGACCGGGCTTCGGGCATGGGCTTCGTTTGAGGAGAAGGCCTGACCGACATACAGATCCATATCGAGTGAGGGGTTTCCGACCGGCGCGAAGGGCCCTTTCAACTGTCATTTGAGGGCCAGCCTTCGCAGGCCGGGGCCCGTGAACACGACCTCCAGCTGGCCTTCCGGGGCCTTAATCGCAGATCCGGATGGGCCCGAAGGGCCTCTCGGAATCTAGGGGGGACGTGCCCCTGTGCCTGCCCCCTTGTGCCTGCGCTACTGGTTCTATCAGCTAGTTCTTCTTTAATCAGCTATGCCTGGCAGACTAAGCCCACCTTCAACTGTGGCGTCCAACTGAAGTCGCTGTTAAAGGGAGTGTTCCACGTTGATATGGGGTTTTGAACTGAAGTAGCCATCTTGAAGACTTTTCGGTGCTGTTCACAATCTTGCCTTTCTTAAGACCTAAGCCCCTCTAGCTTCTGAGCTATACGGCCGCGAAAATGAGGAGAAGTGTATCGGGAGAGCATTTCAAAGTCACCTTGGCATTCGTGACATCATAAGGACGTTATTCAAATCCTGCCATTCCATAAGCCATTCGGTGACCAAGGCTAAAAAATGTGATTGTCGAGGCGTCAATATTTCACGTTCGTGAACGCGATTCCCGGACAGAACGGCCGTCAATTGGCGCTCAATCGATGCTGTGCAAGGTACAATGACGCAATCAAACCATGACGCATAGAGGAGCACATTTTCTAAACAGATATTTGTGCTGTCTAGAGCAGTCTTCTGCACTTAGACTATGCCGACAGTTATAAGTTAGCTTGTTTCATCATATTTGACGCTTACTCCAATATCTTTAAATGTGAAACATTCCCTATCAGCGAGCCAGTAAACGACGGTTGTACATTTTTAGCGATGCCCGGGTGCTGCACCTGCGTCATTTCCAGCGAAATGTGTGGCTTGAATGCGATGGCAAAATAATGAACTTAAGGCATCACTCCCCTTAGACTGGTGCTATTGAACTTGCGTGGTATGACTGGCGTCAACTCCGTGCATTGTTTCATTTTATTTGACAACCTGGAAAGTCCCACACATGCCGTTGATGCCTCGCGTGAAAGCAGAGATAAAGCCGAGAGCAAATATGTACCGTGGCGCTTACGAAATGCCTCTGTCACGCCGCTGAAAACTTAAACCCCGGCGGCTGCCAATGGAAGCGGACTTCACAACAGGTTGGCATGGAAACGGACAGCGTCACGGGCCGCAACGAAAGCCGCCGGGGCGGATGGCTGCTACCGGCTGTGGAGCGGACACTGCGGCCGCTGGCCGTCGCCCTGTGTAAACACGACCGCCGTGTCTGGGGCCGCCTGGGGCTTCGGCGCCGCCGTCGCGCCGGTGCCAGGCCAGACGCCGGCTCGGACAGCCGCCCCTGGCAGCACCGCTGCTCGGCCCGGCTTCTGAGGAGAATGCACGGGAATGCAAAATGGGCCATTTCGGGGGGATGGTATTGAGGCTTTAGAGCAGGATATTGCATCTGGAGCTCACATTGGGGTATCAGTGGCATGCAACCGTCAAATAATAACTCCCTCTTCAATCAGAACGTCTCGGCCTGAATGCAATTACTCTTGCGCGTAAGGCAGGGAAATTATCAGTATTTTGGCATGGTGCTCCCGATTTGTCCTAGAGGGCGTATATTTTACCTCAGTGGTCCCATTACTCGCGGATGACCAACAGCGGCCGCTGTTTCAGCTGCGGCAGCCATCTGTCGGCGCTGGCTCCGACCCAGCGCAGCGGCCGCGGCCGCCAAACGCCACCGATCGTTTGCAAGTTGTATTAAGCCACGATGAAATGCGTCAACACAATGATGGGGAGACAAACAATGAACACAAGGATATGCCGCTCGGATGCCGCTGGTCAAGTCAGTGTGCACAAAGCTTGACACCCGTTCACACCGCCGTTCGTACACGTATAAACAGCTAACATTCACATGCCTCATCTATGCATGCGTCACATTCGTACGCCGGTCGTGATGCCTTCATGACTAATTCACCGACAAAGCGACTCAAAGCCCGGCAGTTGAAAACACGCGTGCTCAGGTATGCAGCCTCGGCAGTCGGAGTATTTCAGATATGCAGGCGATTGTCGTATGCGTTGAACACCGGAGTGTGTGTCGCTATACGTAAACTGGAAAAAATGACACGTGCGGTCCAGGGCAGTGTCGGACACCCGAAAAACTGGGTTCATTGGGGTTGGGGTAAACGAAAGACGGATGTTTTAGAGAAATCGGGGGGTTCCGGGTAGCCCGCGCCGATATCACAGCAGATTCTGAAGGCGCCATGTGCAAGCCAAGCCACGAAAGGCACGACTTGTCAGAGGCCGGGCTGTGGGCACGCTCAGTGCGACTCAAGCAAACAGCGGGACCGGGGGCACGGCAAACGGCGGCCAGCGCCCGTTGAACCCCGCCGACACGCTCGCCTTTTGACGGCTGGCGGTCTCCGATGACCCTCCCGTGGGTCGGAGGTCAGACCTTTATCAGCAAGACGCCCTCACGCAGCTGGCGTGGGCTCGAACAGGACAAACGTCTGTCGGTCACAGCAGCGCGCTTAACAGGCGTCGTGCCATCCGGTCACATAGCCGCAACAGTCAGCTGAGCCACCGTTTTCCGCCATCGATGCAGCGAGCCAGTCACGTAATGACGTCATTGCACCACACTGCCGTTGCGTTATCCCGTCACACCAGTGCATCGATCCAACGCCGCGTCATCAGTCCAATCACTGCCGTCAAGCGCCGCCACATCGCCACTTCCACACCAGCGCGCCTCCCTGCCGTGACATCACCAGTGACGTCACCAGTTACATTGCCGGTTGTGCGCTTCACCGCCGCCTCACCAGCCATGGCATCAACAGTGACGTCACCAGTTACGTTGCCGGCTGTGCGCTTCACCGCCGCCTCGCCAGCCGGCCGCGGCCGCGAGCGGGCCGGGCCCGAGCGGCCGGGGTGCGCCGGAACACGGCCGCCACGAGACCTTGGCGGACAATCGGCCGGCCGCAGCGACGGCTTCGGGAGAGACGAGAGGCCGCGCGAGCGAGACGCGCCGCCTGCCGCCCGGCGGGGCGCCGCTGGTGGACAACCCCGGCCCACCCACTGCCGGTCGGGCTCAACGCAGGTGGTGCCCGGCGCCCGGTCACTCACACCTGATCCGACCTCTGGTCGTCGTGGTCTTTTATGGACTTGGCCACTGAAATCAGCAAGATGTGATTAACAGATGGAACACTCGAGCTGATACGCATGGACAGTTTATTCTCTCCGTTGTAGGGTCTAGTTCAGTGCACATGTCCTCTCACGAGGTACATCACGCCGACACGCCCAGCCGCGGTCAGACCACAACACAGAAAACACACCCGAACGTGAGTTATAACCATGACGGTTCCCAGTCTAACAGGTATGAGCGGGTTTTATGCGGGATCAGCGTCAAAATATAATCAGTGACGCAACAAAAGCTAGAAGCACAACAACAAAGCCCTCCTCTTATCACCCACGTTCAAATTGTGAAACAATTGCGCGGCAATCATCCGAGATGTCAGTGCGCTGCGAACAAGGCGGCGACGCTTGCGATTAAAGGGAGTGTTCCACTTCCGTGTGGGGCTGAAAAACTGACCGAAATAGCTATCTTGAAAATAATTCGGTGCACTTCACGACCCTACCCTTCTTAAAGCCTCAAAACCTCGAGTTTACACGCCTGCGAAGATGTAAAGACTATGTCATGCAAAGTATTTCGAGGTAACCCAGGTGTCGACGCCAACATAACATTATTCAAATCCTATCATTCCATTGGCTATGCGGCGATCAGGGTCAAAAATGTAATTATCGAATCGTTAATATCGGGCTCTCGTGAGCACGATTTCCATATACAACAGCCAGCAATTGGCTTACATCCAATGTTGTGCAATGTACGATGACGTAATCAAACAATGGTGCGTTGAGGAGCATGTTTACTAAACAGAAAATTGTGTTGTCTTGAGCAGTCTCTTCCACTTTAAATACTTATAGTAATAAAGCAAAGTAAGTAAGTAAGAAAATATAATATAAGAAAATATAAGTAAGTGGGCACAATAGTATTATAGATAGTTATTCATTCTTTGAGTGTGTCACGCATTTAGCACAACAATGACTGATGGCCAGCTGACAGCAGTTACTTTAGAAATCCTGTTAACGAATGCCAGATATAAAGAACAGGACAATCGCATTTTATTGGCTTTGATCGCCGCATGGGCAATAAAATGGCAAAATTTGGATGGCATTACTACCGCGTTATGGATACCTGGATGACCTTAAAAAAGTCGACAGGAAATATTCTGCACATCTCCGCGGGCTTTTGGCTCAGAAACTAGAGGGGTTTATGTCTTGAGAAGGACAGGGCTGTGAACTGCACCGAATGATTGTCAACATGCCTGTGTCAGTTCAAACCCCACATCAATGTGGAACACTAATTAAAGGAAATGTTCCACGTTTATAGGTGAAATGGCCATCTTGGAGACTTTTGTTGCTGGTCACAATCCAGTTTCTGAGCTACAAGACCGCCAAAATGGGAAAAGACATATCGAGGAGAGTATTTCAAAGGCCCCGATAAAATTGTTGATGCGTTCGTACCTGTTGTTCGTGAGCGTGATTTCCAGATAAAACAGCCGTCAATTGGTTCTCAATCAATGTTGTGCATGGCAAGATGACATAATCAAACCATGACGCAATGAGGGGCATGCTAAATAAATAGAAAATTGTGCTGTCTGAAGCAGTCCTTTCCACTTAAAAAGTATAGCAATAGTTATAAGTGAGCTTGTTTCAACAAATCTGATGTTCGCGTCAATGTCTTCAAATGCGAAAAATTCCCTTTAAGTGACGTTTCACCAGCCAGCATCTCGCAAAGGGCTGCAGTCAAGCGCAGCTTCATTGGACAACTTGCAAACGCAGGCAGAGCCGTGAGACTTTATAAGGTACCTGCACAAAACATGCGCCTGGTTCCCAAAAGGTATCCTCGGCAACGGGCACCGAGTTGTCCAGCCAAGATGAATCCACGAACCAATATGAATCAAGCCAGTGGATCCAGCTGGAGCTGGGATCCAACACGATAATAACCGATATATCCAGCAAGAGTATGGTTCAGTCCGACACAATGCTGAGTGATCCGGCAGGGGCCAAGATGCAGCCTGGAACAGTGCCGCACTATTCAACAAGTCATGGTTACTCCTGAAATAGATCCAGGGTCCTAACGAGGGTCAAGACCCAGCCTGGAATATCCCCAAAAGAAGGATCTAGCGTAGAACATACCCAGAAATTCGGCAAACGCAAAGATTTATACTGGAATTAGCCCGAAGAGTAGCCAAAGCCAAGTCTGGAGAGACGTCAGGGGAACCAGCAAAATCGGCGCCTCATCATCCCACCGGAATAAAGCAAAACTCAGCAAGGAAGCGAGATCAAAACACCACCCACGGCAGTGGCCTCAGCAAACTTGCCAGCATTTGGGCGTGAGACCACTATTAGCCTTGTCTGATTGGCCTTGCCTGCCATCATCAAATGCGGTTTCTTGACGTTGAGTGAATGCCCCTGAAGTTCTCAGGCCAGGTGAGGCTGTCTACACTTTTGAGGTAATGCACCGGTAGGTGCATTCAATATTCAAACCCACGCGAGTGAAAAAAACGGGAGCGGTTGAAAGTGGGGAATGCAACAAATTATACGCATCCATTGTAATTTCTAGGGGTCAGGGTTATAAGAAAGGGTTTTAAAAACATGGACACGGAGCTCCATATATATATATATATATATATATATATATATATATATATATATATATATATATATATATATATGGAGCCCCATATATATATAGCTCCAAAGCTCCACAGATATATATATATATATATATATATATATATATATATATATATATATGGAGCTCCGTGTCCATGTTTTTAAAACCAATACCCGTTTCACTAGCCGCATCGCGCAGGGCCGTGTTTTTAACTAAGGAACTGACGGAGCCAGCATGCGGGGTTTGAAGAAATCACAGGAAAAAAAATCGCAGCTGTGGTCTATTCGACATCAAACAGAAACAATGTGGTAGCTGTCACCTACACCATGCCTATTCTGACATTGCATATTTCTTAGTAGACACGCACTTGAATGACTGAATTCTGTGGTGTGCTCGCCCCCGGCCGCCTCAATGCATCGTAATTAACCTCCGGCAAACTTATGGTCACCGAGCATTCTAATATCCATGGTATATTTTCAAACCCCTCAGAACAAAAGGCGACTCATCCGTCTTAGCTTGTTTCAACTTTCAACGCCATTCAAGTTCTGTTCCTGTACCAATCGCTCACACCGAATCACTCTCGGAATTTCTGCCGTCCGACAATTTCCACCCTGAGGCCCTGCATTACTGTCAAGCCCTGGCAGTCGAGTGAATCAAGAGCACATTTCCTGACTGATTATCAGCTGGAGCGTTCAGACTGGCAGCCATCACTGACGACGCAGTGAAAATGTCTAAAAGAAGCATACGCGCTTCCCATCCCCAATGCTGTCCAGGGAATCCCAGAAGTAATTGAGAAACGGCGCAATTACGGTTGCTGCTGAAATACATCGACGCGAGAGTAGCGGTGACGTACATGATCTCCAACACTTTCAGCTGGGATCTTGGCCAAATTGAACGGAACACAGATCTGACCACTTCCAGAACCGATCCGAGCTATTTTTTATTATTTTTTATTCTGCCACAGTAGAGCATAACGCAGGCCGGTCTCTGACCATGGCTGGAGAATCGGTCCTGTTACTCAAGAAGTGATGTCAGCTGTCAAGTGCATTTGCGAGGAGCGTTACGCAAATATTTGAGGCAGTGGTAGTAGCCATATTCCTCGCGGAAAAACCAGGAGAACGGAGAGATAGATGCGTTGATATTTCGGCAACATATCTTCATCCAAACGAATGTCAGTGGTGATAGCGAATACTGATAGTGAATTATGATTTTGACTACTGATATTCGTTTCGATAAAGGCATGCTGCCCAAATATTAACGCATCCAGGTCTCCACCTCCTGGCTTTTCTACGAGGAATAACGCCATTACTACTGTCTTATCTATAAAAAGCTATGTCTTGAAGTTCCCCCGTGCCACTTCAGGGCCCGAAAAGACTGCTGATTACACCGGAAACCTTGATGGCAGGACATATTTTGCCCCTTGGAGGGTGCAGGCTGTATGCCTCCCATGCTGATTCATCGCCTGATGTGATCAGGCAAAAATTAGTAAACAAGGGGACCTGCAGCCATGTGATCTGCAGCTTTAAATCGCTTTTGGAATCATGTCATCTCTTCTGTATGACCTGTCAGGTTGGGTCAAACGAGGTGAAACCAAGTTTTCCGTTTCTGCACACAATACTTTTGTATGGGCACGAGAGTTCCAACAATGTGTGTTCATCACATCCAAAGAAAAAAGGCGACGCAAGCCGAACACGCCATCATTTACATACGTACACACAGGAGCACGCACACACGGGGACACGCACGAGCGGACCAACGTAAGAGCGCGACGTAAGAGCTCTTGCGTACGCGCACGCGCGCACGCAAGAGCGCTCGGAGCAGGTGTGACCTGCGTGAGGGCACTCACTGGAGTCCTGGACGAAGGCGACGCCCCACATGATGCTCCAGATCCAGCCGACTATGATGGGCAGCGTGATGAGCTGCAGCAGGCCGGCCAGCGTGGACCAGGCCAGCGTCTGGCCGCGGCTCGGGTACTCGCTCGGGCCGAAGCAGAAGCACATCAGGCCCGACAGGAATGTGCCTGCCGACAGACGGGGGACGCACATGCAGTCGGACGACACCAGCGGCCGGTACTTTCCGAGGCCGAGTCAGCCGGCGGCCGCTGACCGACTTCAGTGAACTTCCACATGATGATCCAGCTCGGTGTCTTAGATAATATGGTGAGCTTGATATGAACCAGCAAGACTTTGAACTGCTGGTGTATCGACATTGTCAGTTTAAAGTTCTTGTGCCGACAGTTATCAGCCTTCATCATACCAGGAGGTATTGGTTAAACGGCGTGCTTGGTACTTGGTATGTGCTTGTGAGCCTGGTACGCACACATTGGCTATATTGATATATATATATATATATATATATATATATATATATATATATATAACCGATGTGTGCTTGATAGCGTCCTCTACGCGGTACCTCCTGGTGCACTGAAGGTCAGTTACCGCCAGCATAAGAACTCAGAAGTCAGAACCCATAATGGCAATACGACAAAGAACCGATTTTGTTACAATTTCTTAATATTACGAGCCCAGCGAGGTTACTTGAACCGTTCAGTTGATGAGCGTTGAACCGATCAGTGAGACCCGTTGCGCAATTGGGGACGAGCGAAGTAATAGCACACGGACAGTTATCATCATAAGCGTGGGAGCAGGGGAGGCGGCAGGACGGGCGCTTGCTCCCCCCCCCCCTCCCCTAGCTTTTGGATTGGGGCGGGAGGCGACACCAACCCCCCCCCCCCCCAATTTGACAGGGCTAGGGAGCGTTTTCTGCAGCAGTTGATCCCTGATATCACTGATCATAAGGTTTTTATATGACAAAATTAGCTATTGATGTCAACGGAATCCTCAGAAAAATGCGAGCCGGTTATGCTCTTCCTTCGCAACATTCAAACAAAGCCTCGTTCGTTGCCTGCCTTCGGTTCTTTTCCTTCGCGAATCTTCCATGTTTTTGTAGACTGGACACAAACTTGGCAGCGTTTGGCTGTTTTTGATTTCAATGTCAAATGATGCATTTCATGGCGATGAATAAATGCTTTACCGCGGTTGCCAGTCCCGTTATGAGTGGCAGATATTAACATCTCCACCAGTATGTTTCAAAATGAAATGCCAGAACAACCGACAGTGCCTAGATTCTTCAAGAGCAGATTCGCAAGCGCCAGCTACTAACATCTTATTTGACATGAAGTTCACCCGAGATCTGTCGGGGCAAAAGGTGCCGTGTTCGGTCTGTTCGATGCCTTGGTACATATATTTTAACAGGACAATGCGTGAGGTGTGGTGTCCATTGCCTGACAGGCTGATACACCAGCTGTCTTCTGGAAAAGTGTTGGTTTGACTGTAACGGTTTAAAACTGCGATTTCTAGGTGTGTGCCATGCTGCACCATCTATTTGCTGGCCCTCTTCCATGAGTACCTTTGAATCTGTACTACCAACCATCAATATTGACGGTCATAGTGTTCTGGTGAGGGTAGGCATGAAATTATATTCAGCACCTATGATACAGTGGTCATCAAGAACATAATACTGGATAATCCGCCCGGCTCGCCTTGCTGGGTCCTCACTCATTGTTACTACATTTACAATAATTCTAGCTCGCTCTGTGACTGTTTTCTTTGAAACATGCATGAGATGAAATTGCACTGACAACTGTACCTGCAGGCACATTTCTGGCATCACCAAACTAACCAGATCTGCTCAGTGCTTCCTCACGCTGCAGGCTGGGACGGGAAGGGTAGGTATGGCAGGCATCAGTGGCATGGCCAGGGGCAGTTGGTCTGGAGAAATTGATGCTCTGTGGTACTTGTAGTTTTAAGCAGTTGCCCACCTCAGATAAAAAACACTGTATAAGTCAACATTTCCTTAGATAAGCCAGTATATATATATATATATATATATATATATATATATATATATATATATATCCTGACGTAACAATAGTACATATATGAAGTATATATATCCTGACGTATATCCTGACGCAACAAATGCTCATGACATGTTGACGATTCCATGCAAAAGACAATGTGCACCCACCTCATTTGTAGATGCACATTTGACTGTAATATTTTCTTATTATCCAGCCCTGGGCGGTATGCAGCTGATCAGCAACTTGTAAGCAGTTAGCAGCTGACCCCTCGCCTGGTAGGGTTAAGGTTGACGAAACCCCCTAAGATTTTCTGATCATATCTTTTCGACACACCGTGCAATCGCGCCTAAATTTTGTTAGCCTCTGGAGGATTTATCGCGCATGTTTTGCTACTAAAAAAATGTCTCTAGCGTTTCTGGCTTATGAGTAGCGACGGCTTTTTAGGAGCACTGCACTGCAATCCACGGCTGGTGCGGGCGACGGGAGGCGGCCGACGAAGTCGCCGACCACGTGTGGTGTGCCTGCACTGTTACATTTATGGAGCCCTTCATCATAAACATGTCCTCATAACACACACAACTACATATCACTGTGTTTAGAACTACATAAGGAAGACGTCTGTTTAAGTTTCACGTTGCTAAGTGACATGGCTTGTAAATATGGGCACATAAAAGTGAAGTAGCTCGATTACCGGGTAAAACTGAATTGAACTTAAATTGTTTTGTAAAGCATTGCCATTTCGCCTTGCCTTGTCGGGTCACTTATTGGCAGCAGCACAACGCTTATTACCAATCGCGTGCTCTCGTTGAGACCAATCCACCGCTTGTTTTATCCGAGGCCATATGTTTCGTAGCTTCGAAATGGCAAGAGGCGCGGGGGGGGGGGCGTCGACGAGCTCTCCTCTTCAGACCGGGGCGCGGGGGGGGGGGCGTCGACGAGCTCTCCTCTTCAGACCGCGTTATGAAGAACGACGAACCGGGGCAAGGACCACGTCAATAGATCAGCTAGGAATTTGTCTTTTTGTACCTTCTCAGCAAAAATGAAAGACATTTTTTGGGGGGAAAAACTGGCAATTTACAAAAGATAGCTGCTGAGGTGAGGAGTCCTTAGCAGCTAGTTTGCTATCCTGACAGATCTGGTCTGGGACCCAGGATCTGGCAGAATCCAGGACCCAGTGTTGGCAGCATGCCTACATGACTTACGATGCGAAATGCTTAAAAAGGAAACCCACTGAAAAAAAATATTTGGACTAACTGTATAAGGCAATACCGAGGCAGACTGGAATTGCAGCGTAGCTGTTCAAATCAGATCTATATATGATTTGACTCTCGGTGATTTGCAATATCTTAAAGATTGGTCCGGGCCTTTTGATTGGATGGTTTCTGGGATCAGCGCCCACGCTAAACAGTCCTCGTGGCGTGAGCCGTGACACCACCATCTAATCGGGGGATTCCAGATCAATGACAGAATTTCGCACCAAGGGCTTAACGTTCCACGATGCACGGCACGGTCCGTCCTGCCCTGCGACACCGCCGGACTCCAAGCCGCTTCCACCGACCGTGGGCTATCCCATTCAGATATAAATCGTGGGCGCCTAAAGCGACTCGAACCCACCATGCCGCGGGTTAATCGGATTGCAGGCGCTCTAACCAACGGAACTATCTGTATGGGCAATTGTGGAACATTTCAGCTTATTTAAATCTGCAACTGAAACACTTAACTCACTAAGTGCCTTGACTTCTCAGGCAGGACGTGTCTGCTACATCTAGCGGATGTTCCAGTACCACCCGCACTGTCATCGCTACCCGTCCCATCCTCCGATGAAGCACCGAACGTCACTCCACCGGACCCTGCTCCCCTGTCGTCATTTTCATCTTCGCATGGTAAGAAAGATGACCAAGATAACCTTGTTTTGCATACTTATTACACAAGCCTTCCAGACTACGTAGGTGCATCACAGGCTTAGGAACTATGAGCTTATACTATTTCATGCAGCTCATGCAGCAATGTTGTGTTTACCTGAGTATGGAGCTTAGCTGTTCATAAATGTGAATTTGCAATGACGCATGTAGGTACTGGGCGCCAATCGCAGCGATGTCTTGCAAACAGCGATACGAGCTGACCAACCATCAGTCTGTATGTGTGACGAGCCTCTGCTTTGTCTCCTTCAACGACCAGTATGCTTATTAGGTTCCATAATACGAAGATTATTTTACTACCATAACCAACGCGTGGAGGGCCTCTAATACATCACTGATTACTGCCACATCAAAAGAAAGCATACCACATCTTATCATGTCTTTTCTGGATATACCCTGAACTCCTCTAAAGCAGTGGTGCAGTCATGTGAATCTGGGATAGGGCTGAGCTTAGGTTCTGCTCGCTGTGGCCACAAACGGTAGTTTCCGTTTTTGGTGGCGACTTTTCGCCGCATCGACAGCTGGGGGGGGAGGGGGGGGAGGGGGATCTCTAACGCTCTGTAACTCTTTAAAATGTCTGGTGTTTCCGGCATCATTATTTTCTTTCTCAGGTATCGTGATCACGAAAGCTGACGGCATTGGCTTTGGGGACATGGATGTTATGGTGTGCTGTACTGTAGTGCGTATGAGGGTTCGTTGATTTCTAAAACCAAATAAATGCCTCACAAAAGATCACTTCTTCACCTAAATGGCCGAACTTCTGCGAGGAAAAAATGGGACAAAAGGCTTGACAAACCGCTTTTCTTCCTCCCCCCCCCCCCCCGCAGCTTTGAAACCATTCCCGCGCCCCTGGTGATCACTCAATACTATGTAGGTGGTGCCTCAAAGTAAGCTAATGCAGGCACTCCCGATAACTCGTACCGATGGGTTTTATCAATACGTTGAAAAGCCCATGGTTCGTACAGATATAGCAGCACACGTTAAATTACTAGCAGACGCGTGCAATCGAAAGAGGGGCATCAGCTGTAAAAGGATATAGACTCACAGGCAAACATAACAAACTAGGGTAAGCCGGGCCAGTTAGGGCAACGCTCTGAAGGCTACTCCGTAAAATGCAAATCAGGTTGTGTGGTTATCAACTTGCACTTTGACAGCATTGCACAGCACCCGCCATGCGTTATTTGCAGATCCATTAAAATTGTGCTATGCTATGAAATTAGTGAATCACCTTAAGCA